AGGTCTCCCCTCAGCCTCCTTTTCTTCAGGAAAGGAGAAAAGAACATCTCTTGTCAGAGGAACTGTTTGCTTGTGTGTACCTCTTGCTGATGGAAAGCGCAGAGTGCAGCACGCTGCCTCGAGCTTCCTTGGATGCAGTTTCCAGGTGGCAGTAGAATGGCAGCACACGTGCAGTCACTTGCCACGTCTCATCTAGGATGTAGCAACTCTGCTCTGTTGTCTGGTTTTAGCCTGAAGAAGCATTGCCACAATTAAAGCCATATAGCACCTACGTACATGCAAAACAAACACCAGGTTCAGTTGTGGAAAGCTGACCTAGATGGTTGTTTAGTTCTATGTAGATTTATCTTGTGCAGCCCTGAAAGATGTATCTGAGCCATTGATTCTGGAAAAAAAACATGTCAAACATTTCAACACAATGCTTCTATCATGAGAGAAACTGTTATTGTTAACAGAGCTTTATTTACAGTACTCTATCCTGGACCCTGGTTGACCATCTTGGGAGAGGAAAGGAAGGAATTTTTATCTGTATTTCTGGAACTCGTGCTTGTAGCTCTGCAATTTTTAAGTAACTGCCTCTATATTACTTTTTGTTTTGCTTACTTTGTAGATAATGCTGAGTGTGAAGAAAAAAATGCCAATGAAAATAAACAAAGTACAGAGGAAAATATTTCCAAAGCTTTACCCATGAAACTACAAACACCCAAATCTTCACAGAGAATATATCAGTCAGTCAAAAAGCAAAATGAAATGTCTCCCTTTAGTAAACTCTATGAGAAACTGAAACATGACATTAAAGTGAAAAATCCTCTGCACGAGGCAAAGGTATCTCAACAAGCTGCAAAAGGAGATGGTCAGAGTGTTCTGCCACAACCAAGGGCTCAGATTTCATCATCAAATTGTGTGTATGGTCTGGGAAGCCTGACTAAAGAAAAAGAATTAGGCAGAAGTGAAAATATTGAAGAATGTAAAATAAAAATACAGGAGGGAACAATCAATTCTGAATTTAATCAGATCTCAGCTGTAGGAAGTGCCACCAAGAAGAGTTTTACCAGAAGTCCTCGAACTTCTCTTTCAAAGGAGGTGTCAAGAGATACTGGTAGAAGAAGTCACTTGCAGGATCATAAGGAACTAAGTACGGGAGGCAAATCTGAAGGTGCTGAAGTTACCACCAAACCCAGTAAGGAGAAGGTTGGAAATTCTCCAGCGTTTTCACTGAAGCCCTGCTCTATAGAATGCTTGGGCTCAGGTGACATGAAAATACACAGCTCTGCAGTACTATCAGATAAACGACCACAAGCAACCAACATGACAAGTGTTTCTGAAGGAGATAAATACATCCTGTCTACACCAACGCCCAGAAGGAAGAGCCTTCGGGCTCAATTTGTGTCACCTACCGAAGAAACCAGTGGGATGGAGCCTGTAAATAATACTGCTCCCATAATTCGACGACGTGTGTTACTGAAACTTAAGTCTTTATCCGAAATTTCAGCTGAAACTCCAAGGGAAGGTTCAGTGTGTGGAAGTGATAACTTCAAACCACCGCCTTCGTCAGAAGAGAAATGCTTAAAACAAAGACAAGATACTACACAAGATACACCAGGAAAACCTGGAAAAGAAGAAATGCTGAAAGAAATTTCCGATCAGGCAAACTTTGTTAACTCAAAAGAGGGACAGTTTGAAACTCCGACTTCTTTTTCTAATTCCAAGAGTCCCAGGAGAAGTAACAGGCAGAGTAAAGAATTATCAAACAAAAGTGTCCCTTTGGAGACACTGGCTTCAGAGGAGTTGTCATCAGAACAGGCATCTCCTGCTGGTCAGAAACCTGGCTCTGGAAGAAGGAGGGGCAGGCCAAGGAGCTCTGGACTGCTGACTGAAGAAGCATTGGAGACAAATGCCAGCCAGGAGCTTGGAGGTGAGACCACAGAGAGAAAAGACAGTGGAACTGAGGAAGAGCCGGCCACAAAGATGTGTCAGCAGGCAGAGGATGTAGAAGGTGCCAGTGCTAAAAGACCTCGTAGGTTGTCATCAAAGAGAAGGTCTTCTGGATGTGCTAGTCCAAAAAGCAACGTGGCTGTCTCAGAAATTAATATTCCTGGCCTGTCCACTGCTGAAGAATCAGGTAAATGTTTGATCCCCCACCTCGTTGCTTTTGTGTTTGAGAAACTCTCCTCGTGTTTTTGTGAGGATTTCTCCACTTCCATAAAGCGTTGAACTCATTGCTGACATAAGAGTTCTAAAATATTTATCATTTCATTATATTTGACCCTAAAAATACGAAATAACATATAGTTTACTCAATTGAATCTATTTCTCTTCACAGTAAGTTACCATCTGATATGTTTCCAACTTTAAAGTGCACGAGTGAGCGCTGTTATCTGTGCTGGTTAAAACCATTGACGTGTGTTCTTGGCTAGATATAGAAATATTTTCAATTGTTATTTTTAGGCAAAACAAAAAGGACACCTCAGAAGAGGAAAACCGACGGTTTGTTACTTCAGTCTTTAGGAAAAAGAAAAAGAGTGTCTTTTGGTGTTCATCTAAGTCCAGAGCTTTTTGATAAAAGTTTGCCTCCCAACTCCCCCCTTAAAAGAGGCGCGATTCCCGCGAGGCTGAGCTTGCCGTTTGGACATTCGCCACGTGCCGTTCTCAAAAAGGCTCAGGGGTTGAAGAACTTTGCAGCCCAGGTAAACATTAAGATTAATCAAGTTGCTAAGACAGTTAATGTGAACAGAATTTATAAATGCTAAGATTTGTAAAAAAAAAAACAAAAAAACCAATTAAAAATGAGTAGTAAATCTTGTTTAGATGCGTGTTGTGAAGTGGAGATTTTAATTGCGAATTAAAATGGTCTTTGAGATCAGCAAATTTCAATCAGCCTTTTTTTTCTTTAACTTCTCAATTACAGGAAAGGGCTCAGCTTAGCCTTTCATAGAGTCATAGAACAGTTTGGGTTGGAAGGGGCCTTAAAGATCATCCAGTCCCAACCCCCCTGCCATCAGCAGGGACACCTTCCACTAGACCAGGTTGCTCAAAGCCTCATCCAGCCTGGCCTTCAACACTTCCAGGGAGGAGCAGCCACAGCTTCTCTGGCCAACCTGTTCCAGTGTCTCACCACCCTCACAGCAAAGAATTTCTTCCTAATATCTAATCTAAACCTCCCCTCTTTCAGTTTAAACCCATTTCCCCTTGTTCTGCCATTAACTGCCCTTATGAAAAGTCCTTCCCCAGCCTTCCTGGAGCCCCTTCAGGTACTGGGAGGCCACTAGAAGGTCTCCCCGGAGCCTTCTCTTCTCCAGGCTGAACAGCCCCAACTCTCTCAGCCTGTCCTCACAGCAGAGCTGCTCCAGCCCTCGCATCATCCTGGTGGCCTCCTCTGGACTTGTTCTAGCTGCTCCATGTCTCTCTTTTGTTGGGGGCTCCAGAACTGTCTTTAGCCAGGAGATGTGTTTTTATTCACCTCTCACACTATTACTCATTCTCTTGCTTGCATGGGAGTACATTTCTATATGTCTGTGGTCAGCAGCAGCGTCTACAAGCTCCAGTTTACCATAAATAACAGAGGACAGAACAGTAGTTTGATGGCAGACTGTGCATTCTACTGCCACATGGTTTGGCTAGAAGTTTGAAGACATTTGCTGTTGATTTAGACTAGTTAAAATGTGTGTGTAGTGTACTTGATGTGAAGAAAACTTTTGAATAAAGTAGAATTATAAATTCAGTTAATTATTCAATTGAATTTGCATGTGTTCTGAGACTGTTTTGCCATTTAAAACTTGTTACAAGTCTGTTTTCAGAGAATAACATTTAAGGCTTTTTCAGATGATCTGATGATACTTTATACTCTTTTATTTACTTATTAGAGACGTAGATGAGCATTTGCAGTAACATTTTATCTATATGTTGTGGTTTTTGGTTTTTTGTAACATGGATTTTCTGAACATCTGCAGAAAGGAAAAGTGTCACCAAAAAGTTCACCAGCTCAGAAGTCTCCAGCTTCCTCATCCCCTGCCTCTAGGAAAGCAACACCTACACTTGCTCTGGGCTCTCCAACACCTTACAAAAAGGGACGTTTCTCCATTTCTCACATCACAACACCATCACCAGATGCAGGAGACGTGAATACAAAGGGGAAAAATGGTTCCCCAGTGAAAACACGTAAATCTTCTCACCTTAACCAAGATGATAAAACCTTAATGGCTAAACCTGCCAAATTAAGGAGAAGCACACAATTTGATTCTAAGGTCACGCCCATGAAGAGGAAGAGTGGGGCTGCAGCAGTTATCAGTGCAAAGAGAAGAAGTGGTGCCTCTAGTGCCAACTTACTAGGTTTGTTTCAGCTGTTAATTCTTAATATTAATTTAATTGCTTTAAAATACAGGAACAAAACTGAAAGAGGCCTGTTGTTTCATGATGCAGAGAGCACCAGGTGATTAGTGTATCTTCTGGTGGTTGTTGGGCTTGTTGGAAATAACTGGGAACTGCAAAGTGTTAGTTACATTCTGGTATATTCCTAAAGCAAATTCCTAAAGCATAAAAACACCGTATTTAAGAGCACAAATCTTAGGGTTCAGAAGTTGAAAAATGGTAGAATTAAGGTTCTCTTTGCATGGTTGGTTGCAATAGAGATCCTTCAAATTCAAGTAGTGTTGAACTATATCAGATTGTATCAATTACATCAATTTTGATTTGAAAACATGTACTTTACAGCAATCTAGTTTCAGTTTTTGTGCCTTTTTCTGTAGACACTTCACAACCTTTTTCTTAAGGACTGAACTGCATTTAACTGTTGACAATAGCATATAACAGATATAATTAAAAAAATAGGATTATAACTGGGTGTTAACTTAAATACTTTGAAGTTGAGCATTTGAATTTGAATTTTGAACACTGTTTTGAAATAGTTTTGACAACATTGGGAATATTATGATGTGGGAGCTCTGAATTTTTTACCTTTGAAGAAACGAACATATGAGGTGTCTTTGTCATCCGTTTTCAGAAATTAAATCAATTTGACTCTTTCAAAGTAAAATTTAAAACTTCCTACCAACATCACCATTCACTAAGGAATTTTATTACTCTTTACTGTCTCCATTTTTTGTAGTGTCATTTTAAAATTTAGAATAACACAGTACATACAATGTCCCAATGATGGTCTCATCATCATGATTATAATTATTATATTTATATTTATCTCACCATGTATTATTATTACATATTATTATATGTATTGCATTAATTACATATTAATACATAATATGTAATATACATTAATTACATATTAATACATAATATGTATTACATTAATTACATATTAATACATAATATGTAATATACATTACATATTATGTAATGTAAATATAGTATTACATTAATTACATATTAATACATAATATGTAATATACATTACATATTATGTATTGTAAATATAATAATTATTTATTATATTTATATTTATCTCATCATGTATTATTATTACATGATGAGATAAAATCACAGGCCTTCACAATGCTTCCTGATTAATGCAGCTGAAAGTGGTATTAGTCTTTTAGTGAAATAATTGGGGTTTTTTTCAGTAGTTTTGATTTTTCCCTTCATTTTAATAGCAGCAGAGTACTTCACAAATATTAATGACATACTGTTTTTCACTGCCCCTCTCTAATGTGTGTTTTTAATATCAGTGCATCGGTTTCTTCTGTAATAGAAAAAGAACACCACAGTTCTTAAAACTTAGATGTCTAGATAAAGATGTCTACTTTATATCTAAAATGAAACTTTGTGTTCTCAGTGCTTTTTTAGGTAATTTCCTGCACACTTGGTATTTTTCTACGTGTTCTGAACACCCCAGCCATGACAGCTTTTGAGAGTTCTTTTATTTACAGACTTTCTCCAACTTGCACAGCAATTCTGAGAAAGGAATTTATAATATCCTTTTCTTCAGGAACAGCATTCCCCTTTTATCTCTACTTAACAAAATAAGTTTCTTCTATATGATCCCTGTCTTCTCATAGCCTATTTCTGAAATAAGGCAGATGTGCTACCAACTTACAGCTTTATTTATTGCACAGCTGTAACTAATTCCCTGATTCAGCTGGTGTGTACAGAATGGTGCTGTGACAAAGGGAACCTTGCTTTGGGAATTTTCAGAGTATGTTGTAAGGAGAAGGTGATAGATAAAGTTATGGAATGTCTGTGTAGATCTAAATGCTCTAAGCAGTATAAATAAATAGTTTCCTGGTTACAGAGTTGCCTTGGAAAAGTGGTGAAAGAAAAGCTGGATGTTTCACTTAGAAACCATTCCTCTCATGTTAAATCAGTCCTGTCAGGGAGAAGTTCAGGTATAATAATGAATGAGACTGAGAGGCTCCTTGCAAGTTTCTAATGTGAAAAATTATTTCCTTACAAAAACAGTGAGGATGGCACTGGGTCAGCATTCAGTTTGAGGATCTAACATCTATTTGACACTCTATGAAGCTTTTTGGTTTTGTTTTTTGTTGTGGAAGTAACCACACTGGGTACTTGGACACTTGTTAAACTTCAGCAGCTGAAATTAGATCTTCTAATAGAAAGCATTTCACAGAGCACTTTAGTAGAGATGTTGTCAGATGCTACAGTAACTGCAGCAAATCCATTGTTATCATAAATAAATAATTGTGAATTTCCATTGATGTGGCTGAGAATTAAAGTGATTATTTCTCTTTTATTTTCTAGTTGCAAAATCTTGGGCGGAAGTGGTAAAATTAGGTATTGCAAGATCACAATCAAAGACTGTTAAAAAAAGTGTCCAAAAGGGAAGATCCCTTAAGAAGACAACCCAGTCAGCAAAGGTATTCTTTTTGGTTTTGCATAACCACAAACCAGCTTGTAGGTATTTTGCTACAGAAGCTGAAAGCTTTATAAGCTTTTAGGATGATGTTAAATGGGTGTTGATGTCTTTGTTACAGCATATAAGAAATGTAGTTTCTTAAAGGGGGGAATCTTGAAGGTAAAGGGGGGAATCTTGAAGGTAAAGGGAGGAATCTTTATTTATGAACCTCCCCCTCTCCTTCTTTCCCATCTACAGACTCCAGAGAGAAAAATAAAAGGTCATTTTAGTACAGGTCATGCGGAGTCACCTGCTACAATAGTTGTAGGTAAAGCTTATTCTACCACAGTGAGAACAGCTGCACAGGTGCCTAAAGTGGTAAGAAATCCCATCTCGAAGCTCGATATGAAAATGGACGAAAGCTTCACAGGTAAGTTCTTTAAAGTCTGTTGCTCACTCTGCCAACTGTGTAGTTCTGTTGTTAAAGGATATCCTCATTTCTCTGAATTTCATCTCTAGGAATGACTGAAATGTTTCAAACGCCAAAAACTAAGAGTAGAAAGACATCACCTGCAGCCAGTGTTCGGAAGACTGATTTTTCACCAATATATGTTGATGTGGAAATGTCTGAATTGCACACCCCTGAGGAGTCTGGTATGTGTGTTATTTGAAAAGAAAAGAAATGTTTAGGTATCTTTAGGGTGAGTGGTGCATCTGCTACTTGAGACAGTTGTCTCAGCCTTGTTGAGATGAAGCATCTGGCAACCCATAAAAGGAACTATTGATTTTTATCATGTATTAAAAACCATTTTTGTAGTTCCCCTTAATTTTTTAGTAGGTTTTTTTTGGTTTTTTTAGTTCTATTTGGTATGAAACTTCAAAATACTGAAGTATTGTTTCAGGCAAATGTTGTGCTAAAGCATGGCACTTAATGAGTTGACAGTGAATACATCTAAATCCAGTGACCAAGTTTTGTGGCAGGGAAAGGTTCCTGTGTAATCTTTCAGAAAAAGTCTATTTATTTATATATTTTTTTAAGTTTTAGATTAGAAAGGTTTGTATTAGGAAGATACTTTTTTACTAGTAGGAGGAACGGTGTCTGTTTTTATTGAGTGACAGCGTGGCTATGCTTGTTCTAATGCTAATGCTCGTGCTTACTGCGCTAGGAAATAGTGAAGGAAAATAAATAATTGGCACTAAACAGCCAGAGAAACACAGAATCGGATGTACATTAAATACACTTGTCAATGATGCTAAACTAGGAGCAGCTGAGGACTCCCTTGGGGTAGAGAGGCCTTACAGAGATATCTGGATAGATGAAAGGGCTGAGTCATCACCAAACTTAAGAAATTTAATAAGAGCAAGTGCTGGATTCTCCACCTGGGATGGGCTAATCCTGGTTAGGGTTGGAGGGCAGGAGGCTGGAGAAAGAGATCTGGGGGTTTGAGTTGGTGGCAAGTTGAATATGAGTCAACAGTGTGCCCTGGTAGCCAAAAGGGCCAGCTGTGTCCTGGGGTGCAGCAAGCACAACATAGCTAGCCTGTTGAGGGAGGTGATTGTCCCAGTCTACACCGCAGTGGTGTGGCCCCACCTCCAGTACTGGAGGCAGTTTTGAGAACCTCAACAGAAGGAGGACATCAAACTATTAGAGTGTGTCCAGAGGAGAGTGACCAAGATGGTGAAAGGTCTCAAAGGCAAGACTTAGGGGGAGCAGCTGAGGTTGCTTGGTTTGTTCAGCTTGGAGAAGAGAAGGCTGAGGGGTGACCTCATCAGAGTCTACAACTTCCTCAAGGGGGGCAGTAGAAGGGAAGGTGCTGATCTCCTCTCTCTGGTGACCAGTGATAGGACACAAGGAAATGGAACAGAGCTATGTCAGGGGAGGTTCAGATGGGACATCAGGACAAGGTTCTTCACCGAGAAGGTGGTCGGTCCCTGGAACAGGCTCCCCAGGGAAGTGGTCACAGCACTGAGCCTGTCAGTTCAAGGAGTGTCTGAGCGATGCTCTTAGTCCTGGTTTAGTTCTGGGTAGTCCTGTGAGGAGCAGACAGTTGGACTTGATGATCCTTATGGGTCCCTTCCAACTTGAGATAGTCTATAAGGTCAAATGTGTGGTCTTTAATATGAAGATTTCTGATCTGTGTCTGCTATTGCTGCAGAACAGAAAGGAAATGACAATCAAAAACTGGCACCACTAGAAATTTTAGGGACAACAGAAAACATTAACTCTTATATCAGATTAAATCAGAAAAAGTAATAACATTTTTTTTTATATTCTTTTTTTTTTTTAAATGTATGCTGTGCCTTGTAGAAGCCAATTACCAAATCCATTGTTGAGGCATGTTGTTGCATCTTCGTTTGTAGAAAGCTCCAGCTCTTTAAGTCCATTTAACTTAGTTATACAGCAATTAGAATGTCTGGATTTTCTACTTAATTCTTTTCCCAAATTACAGAAATATACCACTTATTTCAGGTGAGATGATGGTGTCGCCATTAAATAGTTCAGATGCTTCAGAACAGAAACAAGATAGCCCACGCCTTTGTCACGTTCTGAGAGAGAGGGGACCTCTGAACTCTATGTTTGATGCAACATCCACAAAAACTCCTGAAACAAGAAAAACTAGGCTGGAAGAAAATAGTAGTGTGGCTGGTTTGCCAATAATGCCAGAAAAGCGAGTGTCTCTGAAATTGGGAAGTCAAAGGAGGACTCCAAAGCAGAAGCTGGAGTCAGTTGAGGTCATGTCAGGCATCAAGCAGCTTTTTAGGACACCAGAGCAAAAGTCAGAGCCAGCTGAGGTTCTATCAGGCATCAGGTGTCTCATGAGAACCCCACGGCAGAAGGCAGAGCCAGTCAAGGTTCTATCAGGCAGCAAGCAGCTGATGAGGACCCCACAGCAGAAGCCAGGAGATGAGGTCCTGTCAGACATCAAGGGGCTCTTCACAACCCCACAGCAGAAGCCAGAAGATGAGGCCCTGTTAGACATCAAGGGGCTCTTCACAACTCCGCAGCAGAAGCCAGAAGAAGATGAGGTGCTGTCAGACATCAAGGGGCTCTTCACAACCCCACAGGAAGAGTTAGAACCTGTTAGAGATGAAATTGCCCTTAAAAGATTGCTGAAGACTCCAGTACAAAAAACAGAAGGAGTAAAAGATGTGGTGGGTGTTACTTCAATCAAGAGAACTCCAAAGCTGAAATATCAACCAGTAGAAGACATGAGTGGGGTCAGCTGTATGTTCAAGACACCAAAGGAAAAAGCCAAACCTGTAGAAGATGCGTTTGGTATCAGTAGACTAGTGAAGACTCCGAGAGAGAAGTATGAACCAGTTGATGATTTTGTGGGTCTGCAGAGGCTTCTGGCAGAACCCAAGGAGAAATGTTGTGATATTGAAGAGGACTACGGTGGAGTTAAGGAAATGTTTGATATTCCAGAGGAAACTCAGGTAAAATTCTTTAGCTTTTGGAAGGAATATATTTAGGCTTTGAAACCTGTGGTTGAAATGAATTCTTAGGCCTCCTGGTATGATGTCTTGTACGCTGCAGCACTTCTGGTGATCTGCAGAATCACATAAAATATAGCTAGGCTTTATAAGAGATTCATTTTATACAATCTAACTATATTTTATATGTTTGCTTTTCACTGGAGGAAAAGACACCTTCTAGAAAAGCCCCTCATCTTGATTTGAAAATTGTAAAGATGACATTTTTTTTTCCCTTGGTGGCTTTGTCCAGATGAACACCCACTGCTGGAAGGATGGAGCTTATTGCGAAGTGGAATCTGAGCCATTTTTAATTTTCTGGCCCATTGTTCCAGTTATGTTTCAAACACCCTTTCAATTGCTTACCAAGTACAATCAAATTCCTTCCCAGCCTTCCTTCTCATAAGCAAGGTATAGAATCATGGAATGGTCTGGGTTGGAAGGGACCTTAAAGCTCATCCAGTCCCAACCCCCCTGCCATCAGCAGGGACACCTTCCACTAGACCAGGTTGCTCAAAGCCTCATCCAACCTGGCCTTCAACACTTCCAGGGAGGAGCAGCCACAACTTCCTTGGGCATATGGTTGGGTTTGGTTTTGTTGAGCTGGTTCATACCCTAGAGTTTTAATTTTTCAGCTCTGTTTTTCTTTGCACATCCAGAAGTGTTGAGCATGTGACAAAACGTTACTGTGTGATCAGTGGATTGCTCACTGTGCCCCCAAGTCTTTCATCCCTTGCTTCCTCAAGGGATGTCTATCGTGGAGATGACTTTATTGCTGTGCATTTTCTTTGAAGGAACCCTGAGTAGTTCCTGAGATTGCTCTGAGTTCCCATTCTGACCTTATAATTCACAGCTTCGTCACTCTTGTTGTTTGTGAATTTTATTAGTATTGATGCTCGTTCCCAGATCCACAGGTAAAATGTTGCGTTTCACTGGGCTTAGTGCTCTTCAGTGTAGAACTACAATAAAACACTCAAATGATTTGCCTTCAACACCCCAAATTCCTTTTGAACACTCATTTAGACACTTTTCAACCAATTTCATGAATGCTTTTGGTAACTCTATGCATTGTTTGTTATCTTTCACTTTAAAAACTGATACGCTAGCTGAGATGACAAGTATTTTGATATGTTTGTGTGCTAATATCAAATCCATGGATACAGCTACAAAACTGAGCTGATTTCATGTTTAGAGAGAAGTATTTGACGAGACTTTTTTCAGCTCTCACTATACATTAATTCTGTGCTGAAGGGCTCCATTATTCCTTGTCCTGTCAGACATGCATTTATTGATTATTGTTTTTTCCCTCAGGTCAGATCAGTAAATGTTACAGATCCTAAACAAGACGCTGCACCTCCTTGCACTTATTCCAGTCATAAATTTGGTGAGTACAAATACTTTTGCTTAAACTAGGGGAATAATGAATCTACAAGGTAATATATGTTATTATCAAGTTTTAACATAAGTTCTAAAAACTCAAAAATTGTGTGAAGTGTCCATAGCTCACGGAATCTGTGTCGTCATCCCTGATGAACACCAAGTGCTGGAATTCTATTGGTAGAGAAGTAACAGTGTGGTACTTTGTTGGTGTGGTAAGGTTGGTATCTCCAAACATACAAGTGTAAAAAAAACCTGACATTTAGGTCTTAATTTAAAATTATCTTTCTTTGCAAAGGATTTCAGGAACATAGCTTAAACTTAGGAGTGATACCTACCAAAGAAAACAAACATCTTTGGTCTGAAGCCTGGTCTTTAATCTAGAGTTGGTTAAAATAATTAATATTTATTTATTAAATAAAGAAAATTAAATGTGATTTATTTGAGCAAGATGACTCTGTTAGGAAAATCAAAACTCACAGATACTTTGATTAGGGATAGTTACATATAACTTTTGTTTGTGCTCTTTTCTATGTAAAAACTTTGAATGGGGGGAAAAAAAAACAACTCGTTTAGAAGACAAAGGTGAAGATTCTCAACAGAAAGAATCAACTAGTGAAGACCAATCTACCCAGAGACCAATGAGGGGCAGATCACGGAAGACAGTACATCCTACTTCAGCAAAGCAGTGTGAAAAGAATTTGAATTTAAAAGAATTGCAAGGTCTGGAAAACAAGAGCACCCAAGAGGAGATGGGAGGGGTCAGTAATTCAACTCCAGGAGCTAAAAACAAAGGAAGAGGAAGGAGAACGAACCGTTGCATCCAGGATGAAATTGTTTCAAAGCACCCTGATCAGGAAAAAGTTGAAACTGTTTCATTTGTGGAACCACGTGGAGCTACTCAAAGATTGGGAAGAGGTAAAAGGAAAGAAATGAATCTTGAGTCACGTGGCAAAGATTCTTCAGTGCTACAAAAAGAACCTGCAAATATGAAACATGCCATCGGTGACCTGTTAGAAACTGAAGATGATCCAACCATGAAGACAGTACCTGTATCTAGTAGCGTTCAAAAAAGTCAACTGCAAGCAAGTTTAAAAACACCTGAAAACAAACCTGATGAAGGTGCTGTAGAAGACAGTGAAGAAATGCTGCTGCCACCTGCCAAGAGATCTAGAGGAGTAAAAAAAGTAGAAAACACAGAACCACTGTTTTCCCCTAAAAGAGGAAGAAGAGCTAGAAATGACCAAATTAAACAAGTTCCTTCAAAGGATCTTCATGGGACAACAAGAAAGCTTCGCAAAGACCCATCAGTGAAGACGATACAGAGAGGTGAACGAGCTTTTGACAAAGATCCTGAGACTCCCTCAGCAGAGGAATCTGAAGGTGAAATAAAGACAACAGAGAAAAGAGTTAGGTCTTTAAGAAGTGCCAGAAATCACTCAACTGAAGTAAAAGGAGACATTAGCAGGATGGCACTTGAAAATACACAGAACATTCAGAAAACTGAGGAACCTTCAACTGAAACTGGTGCTGAAACACAGTCACACGTCGAAAACGAGATTCAGATATCTCAGGGAGATGAAACAGAAAATGCTCAGGGAAATACAACAGAGGCATCTCAAAATTTAAAGGCAGAGTTATGTTCTGGAGAGACCAACAAAATGCCAGTTACTGCTCTGAACCTGGAAGCAAGAAGTGCAGTACAAGAAAGAAACAGAGCTAGAAGCAGAAGAGGCAAAAATTACTCTTTGAAGGAAAAGTCTGATGAATTTGAAGATCTAAACAACCTAGAAAGAATTTCTCCCAAATTTAAGTCAGAAACAGAAATGGACAGATCTTCCCTCAAAGATTCTTTGAGCTCAGTTTGTGTCCAGAATACTTACCAAGTCATGAAGAACCAGAATGACCCAGCTGGCACATCACTACGTGCCACAAACAGTGGCAGCCTTGCTCAGAGCCGTCAAAAGCGGACAGGAAACGGACAGGGAATACTTAAACCAAAGCAAACAGAAATCCTGCAAGAGAAGAGAGCACTAAACAGTAGAAGAGGCAGAGGTAGAAAAGTTGATTTCAAACTGGAAGAAGCTAGTTCCAAAACTGTTGGAGACAAAAAGAGTTTACCTGAGGGTGACAAAGGAATGACTGATCAAGATGGTCAACGTAAGGCTTCAGAAAATCCCTCTTCACAAGTAAAGAGGAGCAGAGGAAAGCGAGTAGATTCCATGCTTCAAATAGCTTGTTCTGCCTTTATGGAAAAACAAACATTAATTGCAGATCATGGTAAAGATGAGGCTTTTGTAAAAAAACAAGATTCAACTTTGGAAGCTACTCCTTCAACAGAAGACAATCCACCGAGACGAGGGAAAAGACGAGAGGTTGCTGCAGCATCACAAACATCTCAGTGTCTTTCTACCAGGAAAAGACGTAGGTTGCTAGAAGGTGATGATAACAACATGACTGTGAGAGAAGATAAGAGTACTGATGAAGATCAAAATATGCCTTTGGAAACAGTGTCCTGTGCAGAAAAGAAGCCACTTGGAAGGGGCAGAAGGAAGGAAAATGCTCTGGCATCACACACAACTCGTAACATTTCTCTTAGAGGAAAATGCAGTTTGCCAGCAGATAGTGGTAGTGAACAACAACAGAGTATGTGTGTGAAAACAGCTCCATCTGCAAAAGAAAATCCATCAAGAGTGGGCAGGGGGAAAAGAATTCCTTCCAAATCCGAAGAAATGAGTCCCACTTCTCTCAGGGCAAAACCTGGCTTGCCCAAAGGTAGAGTTCAAAAGAGGATTCTTAAAGAAGGTGAAGATACATCTCTAGAAAACAATTCATCCCAGGAAAAAACATGGCAATTGAGGAATAAAAGGAAAAAGGCAGAAGTCACATCAAAGGCAGCTGCTTCTGTTTCTAACTGTAAAAATGACAAGGCTTTGAAACCTCGGAGTGTGCGTTCGACATCCACTGGTTCTGAAAAAAATCAGCAGTCGGGAAGAGGAGAAGAGGGGAACCCAATACAACGGGCAGCTCCTGCTGCTCTCAGAAGAAAATGTCTGTTGCCAGCAGATGACTTAGCATCCAAGAAAGTAAAACCAGGTGAGGCAAGAATTTGTTTTCTATTTTCTAAGGGTAGTGAAGGTATTTATGGATCTAACAAGGTGTTTACAAAATTCTAGTGGACTGCCATGCTCTAACGTAGAGCGAAAGAGAGCAGGTTGTCAAGATAGAAAGAAAACTGAAGTAAATCGGGTCTGTGTTACCTCAGATAAACAAGCTGCCTTTCCTAAATGGAAGGGGTTGGTTTTGTGGGATGTGACCTGTGTTCTTCCTCTGTTGGAACATTCAGATGCCTTCATACTCTTATATAATAAATCCTCTCTCAACCCATAACAATAAATTGTAGTTTAGAGTAAATACAGCAACTGACACGCAGAAGGAGGTGTTAATGACAGAGCTTGACAGTCACATCTTTGTAGCACCCATTATTCATCGTGTTTTCTCCTAAATACCATCTAAGCTCCTGCTTTTATGTCGTTAGATTTTGGAGAACCTTTACTTGCCATCAACTGTTTTTTGAGGTTGAAGGGCTTGAAGCTATATTTGAGTGAAAAAGACAAAAGTTCCTACTTCTCCCTTTTCCTCCTTTCCTGTTTTGCTTTCCCCAACCCAGCAGAACTCTTGCTGTGACCATTTAAATATTCCCTGGAATTTTCAGCTTGGTGTGATGTGACTTAAAAACTCCCAATGATGCAATTAGAAAATATTATCAAATAAATGTGTGGAAATGGGAATAACAGTGAATCTTTAGAGCTCTATAGAGTCATAGAATGGTTTGGATTGGAAGG